CATCACCCCTCCCTCCATCCAACACACCAACAGAATCATGTAACTGTTTATTTTTATTTAGATTGTGGACCTCCACCGAGTCCAAAGGGTGGTGAATTATTGGGCAATATTCTACATGAAGAGGGTGAAGTGATTGTCTTCAGATGTGCACAATCTTATGATCAAACACAGGAGGTCAATTCCACATGCCTCATTGGCGGCCAATGGTCAAACACTGCTGATTGCAAACGTAAGTAATCACAAGGAAGCTATCGCCATATTATAGATATAGTTCAACAGATTGATTGGCCTTACTGAAGGTGCGTACTAGTGGCTCAAATACATAAGTGAGGGCCCGTGGACTAAAGTGAGTGAGGGCCCGTGGACTTAAGTGGGTGAAGGCTCGTGGACTTAAGTGAAGGCGGGCCTGTGGACCTAAGAGGGAGAGGGCCTAGGGTAAGGCATAGAGTTCGGCCTAGGGTTATGCCTAAGTTGGGGTTAAGTGTAGATGTAGGTGTAAGTGTAGGTCTAGAGTTACGCCTAGGTTAAGGCTTATAGTTAGGCCTAGGGTCAGACCTAGAGTTAGAGTTTAGGTGTAAGTGTAGGTCTAAGTCTAGGTTGGGGTTAAGTGTAGATGTAGGTGTAAGTGTCCTTGGATCAAAGTGAGTAAGGGCCGTTGGATATAAGTGGGTGAGGGCCCTTGGATCTAAGTGAGTGAGTGCCCTTGGATTTAATTGGGTGAACGCCCCTTGGATCTAAGTGGGTGAAGGCCTGTGGACCTGAGTAGTTAGTTTTTTTATATTGTGTGTTAACCTTTTAGTAACTTACTAACTTTTTCTTTATTTGTATTTTTTCTGGGTACCTATACTGGTTCTTATTTAGTAAAGGATAAAAATAACCTCGGAAGAGAGAACAAGATTCAGCAAGTAAGGCAAATTTCGACACGATATTGCGATCAAAATCTTTTAATTTTTCTAATATAGACACAGTAAATTTTGATTTCTTATGAAAGAGTAATTCTGTTGTGGCCTATCTGTTGTAGATTGCGGTGATCCACCATTTGTAAACAGATCTCTGGTAGTAGGACAAATATCACATCTAGAAGGTGAAGAGATCAGATATATATGTGATGATGCATACCAAGAAGAACAAAATATCACTTCTACTTGCCAAGTAAACGGTACATGGACATCACCAAACACATGTAAACGTAAGTTATTGTAAACGTAATTCTGATTACAATCTAAGTCATTGTAAACGTTAGTTCAGACAAACCTTGTTTATTGTAACTTATAAAAAGTTTTTTGTAAATCTAATCATTCATCCATCAATCCATCCTCCTCATTATTATCATTATCATCATCAACATATATCATCATCATTTGTATTATCCTAACTTTTTGTTGTTTTAGACTGTGGACCACCACCTAGTCCAGAGGGTGGTGAATTATTAGGCAATATTCTGCACGAGGAGGGCGAAGTGATAGTCTTCAGATGCACCAATTCTTCTGATCAAACACAGGAGGTCAATTCCACGTGCCTTTCCGACGGACAATGGTCGGACACCGTCGACTGCAAACGTAAGTACCTGATCCTTTTTTTATGAAGTTACTGTTATAAGCGCAGACATCATTATGCTACTACGTCTCTGTTCTATATACATAACAAAAACCTGGAACCTTTTATTCTCCTAAACTTAACTTAAACAAAACCCATATTTTAAGAAATACAGTAATCTGATTAATAACAAAACCAAATTTAAAATTGATTTTAATGATTGACCAAGCAAATGACTGAAGCACTAATATCTTCTGAAGCTAAGTTTTCAAGAATAAGGGCTTCTTTCAACAAAAAATCTCAAGCGTAGAATTTTACATTGAGAAATACCATGTTTACGATAAAAATTGATCGTAAGATTATACAGGGATATTTCAAAAAAGATAGTGTAAAAAGGATATTTTAACCATACCTGGTAGTCTAATTTTATAAAAACTTACCTCATAGATCACATCATGTAATTATACATGTAATCATTTTCAGGAATTAGAAAGGTTCTATTCAATTCTTTGATTTTTATACTGTATATTGATTAAAAATTTTAGGCCAGTAAGAATAATTACAGCATTGTTAACCTTTTGTGAATTATCCAGAGAATACTTTAAAATTCAAATTTGATTCTTTTGTGAACAATCTGTTGTAGATTGCGGTGATCCACCATTTGTGAACAATTCTCAGCTGGTAGGACAAATATCACATCTAAAAGGTGAAGAGATCAGATATCTTTGTACTGATTCATACCAAGAAGAACAAAATATCACTTCTACATGTCAAGAAAATGGTACATGGACAACACCAAACGCTTGTAAATGTAAGTCTAATCGCAATGCAAGTTATTATAAACGTAAACACAATGTACGATATCGTAGACGTAAGTTCAGTTACATTTGGTTTTTGTAAATGTAAGTTCAGTGACACTTGTTTTTTGTAGACGTAGTGTTCATACAAATCTTATCTATTGTAAACGTAAGTACATACAAATCTCATCTATCGTAAATGCAAGTTCATACATATCTTATCTATTGTAAACCTAAGACTAAGATTTTGTAAACGCCGATCTATGGCACAACTCTAAATACCTTAAGTTCAATTGAAACTTAGTTATTAAGTTTCGTTATCCTAGACTTTTCTTAGCGAAAGAATAAGTCTACCTTGCTCTTGTGAACGTAAGTTCTGTCGGCCTTGCTCTTGTTAACGAAAATTTGGTCGGTCTTGCTCTTGTTAACGAAAATTTGGTCGGTCTTGCTCTTGTTAACGAAAATTTGGTCGGTCTTGCTCTTGTTAGCGAAAGCATAAGTCTACCTTGCTCTTGATAACGAAAGTTCTGTCGGTCTTGCTCTTGTTAACGTCATTTCAGTCGGTCCTGCTCTTGTTAACTTAAGTTCGGTCGGTTTTGCTCTAAGTAACGTAAGTTCTGTCGATCTTGCTCTTGTTAACAAGAGTTCAGTCGGTCTTGCTCTTAGTAACGTAAGTTCAGTCGGTCTTGCTCTTAGTAACGTAAGTTCTGTCGGTTTTGCTCTTAGTAACGTAAGTTCTGTCGGTCTTGCTCTTAGAAACGTAAGTTCTGTCGGTCTTGCTCTTAGTAACGTAAGTTCTGTCGGTCTTGCTCTTGTTAACAAGAGTTCAGTCGGTTTTGCTCTTAGTAACGTAAGTTCTGTCGGTCCTGCTCTTGTTAACGTCATTTCAGTCGGTCTTGCTCTTCTTAACGTCATTTCAGTCGGTCTTGCTCTTGTTAACAAGAGTTCAGTCGGTCCTGCTCTTAGTAACATAAGTTCAGTCGGCCCTGCTCTTGTTAACGTAAGTTCAGTCGGTTTTGCTCTTAGTAACGTAAGTTCAGTCGGCCCTGCTCTTGTTAACGTAAGTTCAGTCGGTTTTGCTCTTAGTAACGTAAGTTCAGTCGGCCCTGCTCTTGTTAACGTAAGTTCAGTCGGTCCTGCTCTTGTTAACAAGAGTTCAGTCGGTCCTGCTCTTAGTAACGTAAGTTCAGTCGGTCCTGCTCTTGTTAACAAGAGTTCAGTCGGTCCTGCTCTTAGTAACGTAAGTTCAGTCGGTCCTGCTCTTGTTAACGTTATTTCAGTCGGTCTTGCTCTTGTTAACAAGAGTTCAGTCGGTCCTGCTCTTAGTAACGTAAGTTCAGTCGGTCCTGCTCTTGTTAACGTCATTTCAGTCGGTCTTGCTCTTGTTAACAAGAGTTCAGTCGGTCCTGCTCTTAGTAACGTAAGTTCAGTCGGTCCTGCTCTTGTTAACGTTATTTCAGTCGGTCTTGCTCTTGTTAACAAGAGTTCAGTCGGTCCTGCTCTTAGTAACGTAAGTTCAGTCGGTCCTGCTCTTGTTAACGTCATTTCAGTCGGTCTTGCTCTTATTGGTCATTTCAGTCGGTCTTGCTCTTGTTAACAAGAGTTC